CGCCCTTCCCTTGCTTCACACTGGTGAGCGATGTGAAGCTCTTCTTGGGGGGTGGTGCTAGCAGCGAATTGGGCCATGAACTGCTGGGACAACTGTTCGTAGTTGTCAATAGATCCGGGCTTCAGTTGCCCGAACCATTCCTGCGCCGGTCCCCTCAGGGTGCTGAAGAAGAGCCGGCAGATAGCCTCGTCGGATGCTCCCAGCATGGAAAGGTTGCCCTGGAAGCTGATCAGGTGAGCCTTGGGATCCCCGGTCCCATTGTACACTATCCCCTGGGGGGGCCTGCAGTCCCGCGGGATCTCTGCATTCATGACCCTCGGAGTGAAGGGCGAGGTGAGGGAAAAACGGGGCGTGGCTGGGACGGCCTCCGCCCGTCTGTCCATTTCGGCCATTCGCTGCTCCATTGCCTCTAGCCGGGCCTCCTGTGCGGCCCTTCCGGGGGACACAGGAGGGGCGGCCTCGAGCGCAACGTTCCTTCGGGGGACAACCGCGTCGGGTTGCCTCCGGGTAATATGGGCACCATGCCTTTGGAAACGTCGTCCAATATTACTGACAGCTGGGGCGATGGTGGTGCCCTGGTGTTCTGAGGGAACGTCCGGCGTACGTCCCCGATGATCGTCCTGCCAACCATACCGAGGGGTGCTGGCGCTAGTGTGCCCCCCCAGCTTCGTGGGAGGACGGATTTTGACCCAACCTCATGTGGATGGGCGTCCGACGCCCGGCAGATTCCACTATCTCTCCAGGGACTGCATGCGGTGGATGGGTGATATGGGCGTCCAGATGGTGTTAGCTGAGTACACCTCTTCGTTTGCCTCCTGTTCGTCCGCCATTCGGCGCATCGTTTCCGCCAGCTCCCTCATGAGTCGAGGGTCGCGCCTGGCTTCATGGGGGATGAGGTTTGTGAGGCCACCCTCTCCCCCAGTTGTTCCCAGCGTCTCGGAACGCTCCGCAGTTTGCCCGCGGTTGCTCCGTCCGCGGGACAGCTGCTCGGAGAGGTCACGTTGGCGGTTGTTTCTTGTCATTGTGCTTGCTGTGGGTAGAATTAGTAGCTGTTTGGGAGAGTTTTTTGGAAACTTTTAGTTCAGTTTCCCACAGACGGCGCCAGTGTTGAGGTTTATTCCTTCAATCCCCGGGTCCAACACGTAAGCCCAAGGATTTCGAATGGAGTGTGTGTGAATAAACTAGCCCAACAAGCAGATAACAGGGGTCAAGAAACAGTAAAGGTAGCAAGTAAGTGATCAGGTATTATTATCTCTTAATAACTCCCTAATACAATACTTTCCGCTAAGGCTCCGTCGGCCGTTCGTCTTACAAGGCAGTAGAAGTGCTGCGAGTAAGGATGCTATAGCTAGAGTGCTAAGAATAGAAAGTTGCCAACCCTTTACAATGAAATAAATGCTTCTATTTATACCCGCCAATGGGCAGGTGGCTATGCTGACGTGGAGGCCTGTGGGCCGCTTGTGTCCCAACCACCAAATCTTCAGCATTAAATGCACTTCCCGCCAGAATCTAGGTTTCCCGCCTAAATAATGGGGACGTTCGTCCGCCTGGGAAGCGAGCTGGATTGTTCCAAGTGACCCTCAAGAGGTTCCGGCTGTTCGTCTCCTGGCCTTGATGGATTCTCACCATGTGGCCTGGGTTTCCTCCGATGACTATGGGCTTGCTCAGGAGACGTTCGTCGTCACCCCTGATGGCCCGTGGTCCTGCTCCTTGCCCCTGCATAGACGTTCGTCGGGATGAGCCGCTGGGCCTGAACTCCCAACCCCAGACGCTCGTCCCTTCCCAAGGAATATGGGCCTGTGGGCTGGCCTCGTGGTCTGACTGGACGCGCGTCTGGTGAAGAAAAGGTTAGTGGCCCGGACCTCGGCTTGGGCCCTTAACCCAACAATTTGTTTCCTATTAAGAGTTAATTAAGATTTCTATTATTTCTTTCCTATTTAAAGTTGATTAGGATCTTTATTATTTTGTTTCCTAGTTGGAGTTGATTAGGATTTCTAGGATTTTCCACACCCGTAGCCTGCCTATAAAGCCCCATGGTTCGGGGCTTCGGGACCAGTGGACCGGTCCTGGTCCCGGTCCCGGTCGACGGGCTAGGCCAGACCGGTACTACATAGTACCGGTTCGGGTCGGGCACCGGGCTGATTGAACCGGTCCCGGTCCATCCCTAGCGTATGCATGCTTTTTACAGTATGTGTTGGAGTGTTGGACCCTATAATATTTATTACTGTATAAATCTCTAGCTATGTAGCACGGAAACTCTCGGGAAAGAGTACGTTTCCCGTTTCAGAAACTCTCAGAAACTCTTTGGAAACTCTCGAAATAAGCCTTTTTTGAGAAAAAGTTGACGTTTCCTGTTTCCTCATGATTTTCCCGTTTCCGTGCAACATAAATCTCTAGATATTTGTCTATTTATGGTGTAGGTTTTGTATTTACTGATTTACTCGCCTATTCGCTTTCCACCGAATAAGCAAAGTTGTATTCTTTGGCAACAAGATTTTTTCCCCTTTCACGACCACAACTAGGACCAGGTTGGGTCAGGTTCCGGGTCGAGATTGGGCGGGACAAGGACTAAAAATTTCAGTCCCGGTACCGGCCCTGGTTTGTACCGGGACCGGACCGGGCCAAGGTTAAATAGTACCAGGCCGGGACGGGTCTGAGCAATAAATTAAAAAAAAAGTGCAATTGGGCACAGGACCGGGTCAGGCCGGCCCGTCCCAGTCCATCCCTACACAACAATGACGAGAGTTCTACATAAACCTTCTCTTTCGATGAGGTTTCGTCCTCGAACTTTTGTGACAACCTCATTTTCTTAAATCATACAATCCATATATCTTGTATATACTGGATGAATAAAGACACAAGAAAACTTCCAAAACTGCACATCTTTTTACTGTATCGATTATTGAACCATGCGCTTTTTACGATGACAATCAATCCAATTTATTTACAACAACATCATCATATTGCATCATTGCCAGCTTTGAATCCTTGCATCTTAATTCCCAATCCAATATATACAGGGGTTATGTCTAAAATAATACTAAAAAAAGAGCTATGGACAGAAATGAGACCTTTTTTTCTATTTTCCAAAAATGAGACTGAAAATGGGTTAGGGGACTATTATACCCTTATATTAATAGAATGTCACCCATTAGTGCCAAAGTAACGCCACAGTGACTAATAACATTATAGTGACCAAAATTCACCAGTGACCAAAAATCATTTGTGACAAAAAATTCAAAAATCCGTCAGTGACCAAAATCATTAGTGACCAAAAATTCTACCCAGTTACCAACATTTGTCCAGTGACCAACATCCGTCGGTCCAGTTACACTAACCCGATCGTTAAATTACAGTTACCCAATCATCCAGTTATAGTTACCTGACCCGTCCAATTACAGTTACTTGACCCGTCCAGTTACAGTTACATGACTCGTTTAGTTACAATTATCTGACCCGTCCAGTCACAGTTACCTGATCCGTTCAGTTACAGTTACCTGATTCAACCCGTAACAATTACCCGATTCAATTTGTGACAATTACCCGACCCGTAACAGATACCCGACAAACAATTTAAGGTTATTCAATCGTATAGTCATTGCTGCGGGCAATATCCGTAGCCGGCAATATCCGCCGTCGCCGGACAACACCGTCGAAAACCTCACTGGAATCCACCACTCTCGGCCACTTGCAATAGTTACCTGCCACTGCACAGTCAACTGCCCCTTCCCTTCCGTCTGCCTTGCACCTACCTAAACCCTCCCAAGCCACGCCCAATCTCTCCCTCAGACCCACCCACCCCCGTGCCCTATGCTCCTGCAGGAAAAAACAAGATGGACACTAGAATTCGCCGGACGTGTGCCTTAGGAATAGTTAAAACTCGTGGCCATGGTTGAAGCTCGCGACAAATCGATGAATCTCGCAACGGATCGACGAAGCTCATGTCGAATCGATGAAGCTAGCACCAGATTGACAAAGCATGTCACTGGATCGGCAAAGCTCATCAACGTTGTCGATGCCACTAATGGCAGAAGCTCTCCGCCGTTGGATGTATCGGTGCAAGTCGGAGAAGATGGTCGGACGAATTTGATGAAGAATCGATTCAGAAGCTCACGGCTCTACACTGCTACTCAGAGAAGATGGACGAAGGACAGTTGAATTGTGAGGTCAGCTGAAGTTAGGAGATAGATTAGGGTTATTTGTTTTATTTATAATAGGGGCTTTTCAGTCCATTCATTAATAAGGGGTCTCTTTTTTGTCCAACTTAAAACTTGGTCCTGTCTTTGTCTATCGAAGAGCCCCTAATATTATTTTAGTCATTCTTTCATATATATACTCCATATGTATTCTCAAGGGTATATATTTGTTTCACTTGATATCTAATCTATATATCATGTGGGAATGTGGGATAGGAAGCAAATCAACATGTGTGGTACATATATATTTTTCTCTCTAACACAGTAATTAGCTAAGAGATAGGTAGTTTACTCGCTACTCGGTAGCTACTTGGTCAAGGGCCGAGTAGCGAGTATGACCGATTACTCGGGATTACTCAGTGATTACTCGGCGTAGTATTAATTAAATATAAAAAATATATTTAAATATAGTAGTCTTAATATAGTAATAAAATTGTCTTTAAATTGTCTTAAAATGTTTAGAAGTGAATAAAAGGATAGAAATTGTCTTAAAATGCATATAATACGTATACAATACCAGAATACAACTTCAAGAAGCACGAGCATTGAAAGAAAAGGCAAATATTTTCTGTAATTTTTTGGCACCTATTCTTATTCCAATTGAAGAACTTCAAAGTAACTTCAAAGTGGCACCTACCGAACAACTAGTCCTCAAAGGTAGTTCCCTAAATGAAAATTGCAGCTCACCCAAAACCAAACATGATGTTTTTTTGCTAAGCTATATTTTCCACCTTTTCAATTAAGAGATTTTATTTCAGCATTCAGCAACTCAGTTCTCAGGGGTACATTCAATACATTTACTTTAGTTGGCCAAAGACTTGAAAATGTACAATGAAAACACCGGTTTAAGAAGCACAAGCAAACAATGAACAATCCAAAATTCTCAGAGTTTATTACAGTATACAGAGAAGAATATAATAGGCAACATGAGGGAGAATAAGAAACAACACAGAGGATAATCTCAATTTAATTTTTTTCCAAGCGGAGGTAATGTTTTTTTACATACCGAGTACTCCCGAGTAAATCGCCTTTTTGACCCACTGACCGAGTTGGCTAACTCGCCGAGTACTCGGCGAGTAACTCGGAATAATAACTCGGACCGAGTAATGTGCTACTCTGCAAGGTCATAGGCCGAGTAGGGAGTACTCACTGAGTACTCGCTGAGTACTCGCCGAGTAAATAACCCAGGCTAAGAGGGGGATTTCTGGGCACTGGTGCATTTAATTTGAGCGTCTTGGGCAAAATTCATGGGCAAATAAAAAGGTTATTATCATGAACTATATTTTGATTTCTGAGTTCCTACACCAAAATACATGGAAAGAAACAAGAATAAAGAAATTTTATCAGGTACTACGAAACTTCATCGTTTGGATGTTGCCCCTCATCTTCGTGAATTCAAACCACTCTTGCCATCGTTAAGACTCTAAAAGACATAGATGTGACAAAATACTAGAAGATTAGATTTCTCTTTAAAAGACAATAATAAGATGAGCCTAAAATATGAATGAGCCAAATTACACACCAATTGTTTGAACGATCTGTTTTGCGAGGAACTTTCCGTTTGCTTTTCAGCATCTGGCTTGGCACGGTCAAGAGCCTGAAAGCAAATTGATCAAAGAAACACATACTTAAAAACTAATACACTCATCACAAAAGGTGCACACAAATGTCACATGGCGTTCTCCTCACTCCCTCAAATGGGTAATTGGGAGGACATAAACTTATTATGCTCACAAAAAAATGACACTCAATGATTGCCCAAACTACGGTCTACCCAAGCAAGTTATATATCCTTCAACCCTATCAGTACAGTCACATTCATAGAATATAGACCCTGAAAACACTCCATTTTTCTTTGGAAACATTCTTATCAACTAACTCGCTTTGTTGAGAGAAATGGAGTTTCTGGCGCCTATAATTGCTAATGTAGAAATGTTTCAGCCATGCTAGATTGGGAAAAGAATGGGAGAAAATGAGCGAAAAATCTGAAACATTTTTTGCGAGACAAAATTCCGTTCATCCGGCCTGATAACATTATCAGTACACATAGTCACATACTACACATAAACAAGTCCAGAGATGGTTCTGAAATGTGGATGACATGAAGGCAAATTTTAAGCAAAAGATGGAGAGTTACTTGTATAAGTGATTCCACCCGACGCCTCATGCGAGTATGCATGAAACCCTCTGAACACTGTTTACAAGAGAAACCCGTGAATTGAGAATGGAGGAAACAAGAACATAATATGGTGGAAATGAGAACCACTTCTAGCACATCTGGAATAATGATAAAATCAACAAAATCAGCCACATTTTAAGAGCATGAGATGCCACAGGCATCAGGTAAGCAACCTGATTTTACATGAGAACCGCCAGCCTAGACAAGACACTGCTGACCCCTATTATGTTTGAAACCTCCACTGCAATAGTTTTATGCAACAGGAGTGCCAACAAGCAAAACCCTAGTTGTTTTGTAAGTGAAGTTACAAGGAACATATTTAGTTGAGCATGAAGGCGCACTGTGATTTCAGCTTTTAGATACTTTTAAGCATTTAACTTTTTCTTCTTTCCTCATTTTTTAAAAAGCTCACTTGCTGCAAATTACAACTATTCCATCATTTCCAGTGGAGCCAAAGACTCACTATTTTTAGGCTTGAGAATCTGATGGAATAAAGCAAAATGGCTCACTTAACTATTTGTGCTTCTTTGTTATGAAGCAACAATCAATACATGCAATTTTCGACGCAATTTTCATCATGGGTCATCCAGAAACGGTCTCTTTGTGGCACTGGGGTAATGTTGTTGGTGTTGCTGCTGCAAATTACAACTAATGTAGCATCTGTTTCATTTCTCCTAATGTTTGGATATTTTTTAATCAAGAAGCAAATTAATTCCTATACTATTTTTGGGTAGTCACCTCCATGTTATAATGATAACTCTTTTTAACTCGCAAATCAAAAGACAAGTAGTAGAGATATCTGAACTTTAATTTTCATAAACAGTTGAAACTACAACATAAAATGTAGTATCATGTGTCTGGACTGATAAAACCTAAAGCAGATAATGGAGACAAATCCATTAGTCTACCAAGTAAGACTCCCCACTAATAAATAAATAAATAAATAATACTCCGTAATAATAATAATAATAAATCCAGCCATGGAGCACAAAATAAGGTAGAAGGAAGTGGTCCAGGGAAGGAAGTGATGTGGAAATAAAGAATAAATGACTTTGGTAGCAGAAATCCTACCTTAACATGATAATTCACATAAGCATGAAAGCTTGAGAGATTCCATACAGTCCTATCCAGTTTCTGTCCTTCCACATGACGTGGGAAAATGACTGCTGACAAACAAGATGCATAAACATATGTCACTGTAATAAAGGATGCATATGGAAAGAACAAATTTAAATTCCTAATATTACCAAAACTGAAATATCCAGCATTAGCTGTCAATGCCTCATTAACAACACCTTCCAGCTCTTGAGGAAGAGAAGGTGACCAAAAACAGGGAGGGGCATTGTGTAGTCCAGCAGTTCGCCTTGCCTCCACAAATTCCTAATTATAAATTAATAGCCCGGTAATGGTTTGCTGAAATGTGCTGTTCAGATATACATAGATGTACATGCTCCGACACACCAAAGGTAACTATGTCACACTAAATTGAAGGTGAAACTGGACAGGACTTGTTGGCAGTGACCCTTCCTCTATCTTTGGGATTAGATAACATAGAAGGAAATAAAATTTGTTGAATTAGATCATACAATTACCTGTAGGAAAGACGTAGCAAGAATGGTATCTATAGAGTCATTGAACCTCATCGGAAATATCGCAGTTACGTTCTCTGCCTGCAGCAAGCAATTGCAGTTTGTCATTTAAAAAGATATGCACATGATTCTTCCCAACATGTCATGACATACTTAATTATTTGATTTATGGCGCGTGAGAGAGAATGTTATTAAGTAGGTAATACTACTAGAAGGTTCAACAAGAAATTGTAGAGACTTACTTTTTTTTAATCATTGTAGAGACTTACTTATAAGTTATAACTAAATAACTAAGCACATACACTCTCACATAAAGAAATAAATAAACACACATTATACTGAGAAATCCTTTCCAGGCCACAATTTATATCCTTAAAGATTTAGGCCGCAGAATGGGGGAGCACCAAAAGGCAAAAAAGTAAGTATTCTCAGAAGAGAAGGTGCGCAGTGTTGGCCATATATAACCTCAATCCCTTCAGGGCAAGGGGCAATCCAGGAGTTAGGTAGCACATAAACAAATATATAACTATGTAAATAAATGCAAAGTGATAAATAGATGAAATTTAGATAGAATTGGAGCTTGCACCCTATTTCCAAATAATTTTCATTTGCACCCTAAAAATTAATGTTTGCATCCCATTTTTCTTCTAAATTGGAGTTTGCACCCCCATCATTATTAATAGATTTTTTGAACTTCGAGGTGCAACAACTAATTATTTTGAAAATGGCCCTTAATGGGCTGCAAACTAAAATTTGGCTGAAATGGATTACAGGCTCAAAATATCCTGATATTCTATGATACAATACATAATCTAGTACACCCAATCAGACATTGCATGACTTAGATTGATCTAAATTCAGAAAGAAAAAACAGACCCTAGGTTCCTTATATATTCGTCCCCTGCACGATTAGCATCCAATAGGAATCTGCACTAGTGGAAATATATAAAGAAAGTAGAAACACACGCACACAATTCAGGGGTCAAACCATACCAATTGGTTCAAACATCCCCTTCTCATGGGCTTGGACCTCCCCATTTTTTTTTAAAAAAATGGTTTGAATATACCAGACACTGAATAACTAAATGCATGCTTTGGTATGAAAAGATATAGAATATTTTATGTTTGTGAATTGTTAGAAATAGTATAATATTGTATATGTATATTGAGCCAAAATTTTCACCTGGGGTAAGAGGAAGAAAGACTCATTTGGCCGATGAACAAGAGCAATAACCTTCTCTGTATCAGAAGGAACTGTCCTCAGAGCTAGATCATTCAGAACTGCTCTTAATGGGGCCCCCATTACCACTTCCCTTACAGCTGCAATACTTACCAACAAATGATGTTTGTGATCTACAATGAACAATTGTAAACTTTAGCTTTTAGAAATGAGCACATCCAAGGAATATAAGATATGAATATCAAAGAATGAGAGTCTATAGCATCGGCAAATTACTTATAGAATGAGTACAGCTGCACAGGAATGTTTTGATATATAAGAACTTATAGAGGGATGATTCCAGAAATTTGGATGCTTTGTTCAGTGGGTCAGTATACATGTACAGGTACACATATACAACCCCCCTGTCTATGCAATATGACAATTGTACTAGTGTCTAGTATACACTAACAAATATGGAATCATCATTTCCTGGCAACCATACACAGAACTACGTAGAAATAAGTCATAGAATGACAGACAGTCTATAGTGCATCTCAGAGAGATTTTTTCACTTCGCACAAAAATAGCATGTCTTCAGTCTCCACCAAACACAATTACATCTAGTATAGCCAATTAAAATTATTTGCTGCATTCATCAAATCTGTTACTGATATATGGTTCTGAAGTGTTAACAAAAGATGTTGATACACTTTCTAAAGTAAGCCTGAATATTCATCTTCTGTAATAAAAAAAAATAGTTACAATAAGAATATACATGCAGATATTGGAAGGTTTAAAACAAAAATTACACTGATCTTTAAGCATAGTCAAAAGAAGTTTGGGGTGGGGAAGTGTCCTACAGTACAATTATGACAAGCTTATAAGTCATAATGACCTTAAAGAGAAACTTGCAGAACCTTCATCTGGAGGAAGTTTGGACAAATTCAATTTCAATGTGAGATTAAAGCCATCTCTTGGAGGATCTAGAATTTGTGCAACCACTCCATATCTAGCCTTTATGGCTTCTATTGCTCCAAGAGGAAGTCCTCCAAAGAATACAGTTTCAGGAGGAGGTATTGGTAAAGACATTGAAAGTAGCACGATATTTGAATTCCTCGTTGAAGCCTGCAGAACCGTTAATTCATCAAACTTTCAGCATTAAATGACATAATGTGTATGCAAAATTATTAATCTTAATAATTGATTTGAATGCCGATAAATGAGCTTATACTACAGGCTCAGCTAGGTTACTCTGCTAAAAGAAGACCCCCCTCTGCAACTTACCTGAATATGGAACCGAATATCACCAAATTCAACCCATAGGCAATCAAGTTCAACACCCTTATCAAGGCTGCAAAGTCAAGCACGTAAATAGGCATTTAGGAATTTACACTGTACAAAAAAACTTTGTACTACCGGATGCCCGTTACACAGCATCCCTAGAAATACAAAAATAAGTATAACTCATTCAATATAATACGGAGTATGTACTTGGACGAGATTATTCAGCAACTTCGGCGTATCATTTATAACAAGAGTGATCATGAAATAAGATTCTAAAGCTGTACCGAAATTTACAGCCGCTTTTTAATACAACTATCAGACCCAATGGCTTTAATTCAATTAACGATATCCTTAAGATTGAAAAAAGACAAGATAAAATTGAACCGCCGTTACGAACTTTTGAGCGCGTGTAGACAAGATCTGGAGGAGGTATCTGGAGTGGGACTGCAACAGTATCATCTGGTTTTGTTTCAGATGTCGAATCTCCGGTGGCACTTCAACTAATTAATACTCTCGTTCGAGCATAGCACAGAGCTCGCCGGGAACGACCTTCTCCGACCGGTGTGATCGCCACCGTTGTCGAGGCACCGTAAATGATACTCTGGATGGTTGATGACAGCAAGTGCGAGCAAAGAGATTCTGCGCTTGGCTTTAGTCATAATACAGAAACAAAAAAATGGCTGAATATTAATTAAGAGCCCGTTTGGTAGCACCAAAATCGGCTGTTTTGGCTGATTCTGCTGAAATTTATGATATTCTGGTTGGAGTGGTTGTTTTGGCTGATTCTGCAGATTTAAGAAAAAAATATTTTAAAAATATATTTTATTAATAAATTAAAGAAAAAATTATATGTAAAAATAGCTAAAATGGTCCTCTACAGTAACTTCAGCCAATACAGCCAGAAAAGTAACTCCAACCTTACTTTTTCGGCTTATTACACAATTCAGCGCGCAAAAGTAAAAGTTACGTGTTTGGTGAAAAAGCTGGCTGATAAGCCTGATAAGCCGAAAACAGAGTTCTCCAAACGGGCTCTAATACTCCGTATAAAGAATTGTAAATAGAGGTTTTACTGAGCTTTTAATCATTTGATAATACTAAAATTGATTAAATACTGTTGAAATTTATAAAATTTTGGTTGAAGTATATGAATTGGTAATTATGTGGAATTATGAAAAAAATTAAAATATATTTTATTAATAAATAAAAGAAAAAATATATGAAATGTTTTTTTATCAAACCAAGAAGTAATTTCAACTTTACTTATTTAGATCATTTCACAACTCAACACGTCAAGTAAAAAATCACGTGTTTAATGAAAAAGTTGAATAAGATTAAACTGAAAAACAAAGCAACAAACAAAAGTACAAAATAGGCTCTTTATATACCATCAGTCGTTCTTTAATAGTTGCAAAATTTTGACTTTCATGTTTGCTAGCGCATAAATTTGACTATAATTATATTTAAATACGTTATACGTAGTAGTAAACATAAAAAAATTATTTTGGAAATTCATCTTGATAGAATTTAATAATGTTTTTTACATAATAATTTGATTATATATATAGGGTGCGGTTCTAATGAGAACGATGTTTAACGTGAGAACGCAATAATACTCACATTTAAATCGGCGTGATGCACAATAAAGCACTTTTGTTGCACATTTTCAATTTGTTAACATTAGGCTCATTAGCCCATCGGCTAATTTACTGTACAGAAGCCCAGTCCCAACTCCCAAGGTCCCAAAGACCCAACCCAAACAGCATTTTAAAAAAGAAGCCCTCTTCATTAAAATATATGGAGGAACTTTTAAGCATTGTCTTCCTGCTTCGCCCCAATCATGAAGAAGAAACAAAGGTCTACCGCCGTCGAAGCGGCGTCAATCTCCCCAACCGGTGCTGACCTAAAAGCCCTCATCCGGTCTAATAGCATCTTCTTCGACAATCTCGTTAATCTGATCCCACCCAAATACTACCTCCCAAGCGAGGAGGATTCCAAGCCATGGTACCCAGGCTTGTCCAAAGCGAAAAAGGCATCTCTTAAACGGCAGTCTAGGGAGAACATCAAACTCGCCCGTCGCAACCGGCTCGACCCGGAACAGAAGATTGCGCAATCTTCAACTCTCGACCTCCTCAAAGAATCCATCGACAAGCAGAAGAATGTGGACGATTCAGACAACGCAAAACCCGTCGATTTGGGCGAAGATGATAAAAAGGAGAATACGGATGACCGTTCTGTTACATATGAAGAGTTGCGGCTGAGGCTCCGCAGGAAAATCGAGGCCCTTCGAGGTAATAGAGGTACAGGCGAGAGATCTAAGAGGAAAATGGATGTCGAGGATGGAATTTTTGTGAAGTCGGAAGGGAAGAAGCGAAAAAGGGATGTTGACAAAGAGGAGAATACTGGAAAGACTGGCAGCGGTGTAGCTAATTCCGGAGTCGACCTGAGTGAAATTGAATACGGGAAAGTAAAGATTGGGGACGATGAGAAGCTCGGAAAGAGGAAGAAGAAGAAAAAGATACCGAAAGAGAAAGAGCTGGAGAGGTTGAAGAAATTGGAAGAGGTTAAGAAGGAGAACCCAAAGGTGGCAGAGAAAGAGTCATGGAAAGCTGCCGCAGAAAGGGCAATGGGGATAAAGGTTCACAATGATCCAAAGCTTTTGAAGGAGAGCATGAAGAAGGAGAAGAAGAGAAAAGAGAAGAGCACTGAAAAATGGAAGGAAAGGGTAGAAAGTAGAGAGAAGTTGAAGGAAGAGAGACAACATAAGAGGAAGGAGAACATTTCAGGGCGAATCCAGGATATAAAGTCTAGGAAAATAGCTAAAAGAGAAAAGAAGCTCATGAGGCCTGGATTTGAGGGGCGAAAGGAGGGATTTATCACTGAGAATTGAAGTTAATGTGCTTATCTAGCATGTATTGTGGTATAATAGCTTCATGCTTTATCTTTGATATGAACTTTGCTTGTGCTATTATGCAATTTAGTTTTAAAAATCTTGATGAGGGAAAAGCACGAAAATTGGTGCAAAAGGCTCTAATGTTTTCTCTTGGTTCTCAATATTTCTTCAAGTTTTTTTATGTTTTCTTGGTTCTCAGAAAAGACAATTGATTTTATTGTAGCATTTCCCCTTTAAGAATATGGGTTTTCTTTTCAGGAGGTGGCATTTGGTGTCAGGTTCATCCTGGTAACATTGACAAAATGATGTATGATACTTACGTCTTGTTTATTTTGGACATGAACTTTGTGTGGGGTAATTATCGTTATTGTGCATTTCAGTTATCATTTTTTGTTCAAGTCGTACTTCATTGTAGTTTTGGTGAAGGAAAACATGATAAAATTATAATGCCCGTAGGTACACTGGTACACTCACTTCTTAGCTCTCTGAGTTCAAGGTTTGAATGTTTTAATTAGTTTGTGTATACTGTGTAGTCAGATATTTGAGAATGTTCTTTTCTTTCTTTTAGTGTGTTCCATTTGGTTTTGATTCGTCCAGCAAAAACAGGGTGATGGTATAATTTTATTGCAGTATTTCTTCGTTTAGTTATTTAAGAGCTGTCTAATGGCATGTTATTTTATGTGCTTTCTTAACATTTTTTTCTGGAGCCATCAAGCATGGAATTTATTTGTATGTGAGCAGTGTTTTTATGGATTGAAATATTGAAGGATAAAAAAGGACTTGGGTACTCATGAGTCATGCTTGAGCCTTGAGGTTAATGTGTTATTCAGCTTTGTGGTCTTTATTGAATAGCTTCATGTCTTTTTTTTAGAGTATGTTTATTTAGGTTGGATATGAGCTGCGCCTTATGTTGATTTTTTTTCTCTCTTTTTTGAGATTCTAGACTTGAATGTGGTTCCATAGACGATCCTACACTAGATGGAACCTACATTAGGTCTAGGGTGTGTTGAAGTTATGGAAACAGAATTTTTTTCTGAAATTTTTTAATGTAAACTTTCTTTTTCTCCATTTAGCCAACCCTCTTTTTCTTTGCGCTATAGTATAACCACTCTTCAGACAACATGAATTAAGAAATCTGTCCCTAGTGGTGAAGCTGTTCTTGACGATAGTTGTGTAATTGGAATGTTTGAGCATTGTAATCACTCCTTATGCTCATCTCACTTCAAAGTATATGAAGGTTATGTTTTGGTTACTTTATTTTGTGGTCAATGGATATGTGAGCTTGCTTTGGGTTTTCATTGTATGGGCTTGGTGGTTTTTATCACATCATCACTGTCTTATGATATTTTCAAAGTAAGGTTGAATTATACGGAGTAATGGTATCAGTATATGGCAATGACGTTTTAGAATTTTCAACAGTACTGTGATGTTGGAGTTCAAACTGCTCTGTAATTCTTTCTTTTTGACCAAGTTTTTTTGGGATGATTTCTTGTAATCTTTCTCATTTGCCCGTGAGATTTAGAAAAGGGAAAAATGGCTATATAGCCTAAAAAATTAGGCCTCTTGAAGTTAGTAGCCTATATTTTATATAATTAAATACATAGCATATTTGTTGTTAATATGAGGTCGGTAAATTTTTAATACTGTATCCAATTTTTCATCTGCAATGTCAGAATTGGATTCCAGATTTCCAGGTCATGTTGGTACTAAACGGTGGTGTCAGAGAAGCAGGCAAAAGCCGCTACGTTCCCGGAATTGCATCCATAGACTGGTAAAAAACCAGATTAAAACAAAGTTATTTTTTTCAAAAATAGGATCTACTACTTAAAATACCTTACTAGGATTTTATATTTGTGATTGGACCAAAATCCTTTCATATGGCTAATAACTACTGCCCATGGCTCACCAGATCATTGCGTGACGTTCGTCGCCGGAACTTTTTCGTGAAATTTTCTGCCGAACTGTCGTAAAATCCGCCGCCGCTGCCGCCGAAGTTTGTTGGCACCACCAACGAATTGTTTTGGTTGTGCAAGGGAACTACGGGGCGATTGACATTGCGAGTGGTATGTTTTGCAGGCTGCTGCTGTCGAAAGATTTTTTGGGAGTAAGAGTAATATGATATATCAAACAAAAGAATGTTGGAGAATTGCATTATATGAATATGAGATGAAAGTAAGATTAACTCTTAGATGAAACAAATGCAGAAGTTGGAATTCGGGAATTTGCTCCATAGAGACATGATCTCTTTATTACGGAGTATAAATGAAACTATTGTAATTAAGGTTAACGGAACTGGTATGAGGTAATGATCGACATAGTGTATCGGTTGTTTTGATAAAAGTTATCTAGTTTATTTTTCTTAATCCATAACATTAACTTCAATGCACATATTTAATTGTGTTTATATACCCAATTTTCTCTTTAGAAAACCACGCCTCTACAGTTCTACTCCTAATGTGTATGACAATCAGGTCCTGACATTTTATGGGCCCGGGACAATACAAATAGACTGGGTCTCAAGGATAGCGGGAGAATGTTTATAATGTTCTTTTTGCTATAATAATCTATAATTTAAAATTATACAATTTTACCGTCCAAAAGTAGTATAACACATCAAAAAAACTAACAAAGCACATGGTTAGAAAATATATATAGGGTATTTGATAAGTGACATTTGAGGATACAATGTACCTATGAGCCGAGCGAAATAAGTAGTGCAACTATTAGGTGCAATAAAAATTTTAAATTAAGAAAATCTATGAAATTATATCTTGTATAATTAGGAGTAACTTTTTTATATTTTAGATCACATTTTCACTAGACAAAAACAAATTCTACGTTTCTAAATTATGGACACTAAAGTTCAATCTTTCACTAAATGTAGGGACTAAATGTAGGGCAGAGCACGGGTCGAGTTCGGGCGGGTCGGGTTCAAAAATGGTAAACCCGTTCGGGTATCGGTTTGATAAATTCAAACCCTACACTATCAAAAAAATTATCGGGTTTTTCGGGTTGAAGGAATTCGGGTTGCGGTCGGGTTTCGGGTCCATTCGGATTTTAATTTATTAATGTTGAAATTGTGATAAATAAAATTGTAATTGGTAAAAATATCATTTAAAGTTATACTAGTATAACATTCAAAGTAATAGTTGTATAAATGTAGTAATGGACATATTTGAACATGTAAAATAATAATATACGGTTATTGACATATTTGATATTGTGATAAATAAAATGATAATTAGTCAAAATATCATTCAAAGTCATAACAATACAACATTCAAAATTATAGTTGTACAAATACGGTAATTGGAATATTTGAACATGCACATTATGGTAATTGGCATTCAATAATTGAGATATTTGAACATGCATAATAATTCAAAGTAGTATATATATACTACGCTAGTTCGGTTTTTCGGGCGGGTCGGGTTGCATAATTGGTAACCCTACCCACTACCCGTTTAAGTCTCGGGTTGCAAGAATCGGGTCGGGTTTGGGTATTTCGGGTCGGGTTTTCCGACCCAAACAAAAAAATCGGATATATTCAGTCGGGTCAATCGGGTAGGGTTGGGTTTGCTCTCCCCTAACTAAATGAGAGAATCGGAGGAAATTTGTGAAATATATCAATAAGTTCTGGATATACATAAGACATGTACACTAAAAGAATAAAATTAATGCAATAATCCGTAATATAATGATTCAAAAGAAACGGTGAAATATGTTCTCAATGAATTCTAATGTGGATGTTTCGAAATTATAGACTTGTATCGTGTAGATGCTGAATAACTAATTAGATGTATCTAAAAAATATAAGTTTGATTTTATATTTTACCTTTTATAGATTTAGGATGTACATATAATTAAAATAGTGATGTTCACAAACACACACCTACACACATATTTGAGAAATTTATGGGCCCTACTGGAGCAAACGGCCCTGGGCACATGCCCCTCCTGCCCATGCCCCAGGACCGGCCCTGATGACAATCTACTCTGTGATCCACACTCATGAACTCATTAGTAGAGAAATAAAAAGATACAACTGTTGGGAACTCATGAATCAATTATACTTGGATGTTTTCTTTTGGATTGAAATTTAATGGTCTGGTCTGGTAAACCTCTGATTTCTGTGTATTTCATAACTACGGAAGTCTGATCTGGTGTGGTCTGATCTGGTGTGATCTGATCTGGTCTGGTCTAAAACTGAAAGCAGTCCAAAAGAAAACATCCTTATATTTCTAACTTTTCTTCCATTGATTGGTTCAACGGTTTAACTACTACCACAATTTGGCCAGAAGAATGGGCGTTAAGAAATTGCTCCTCTCACCTGCGGCATGCCGGCATATACAAAGTATCAATTTTCTTTTCACTTTCATCATACTATACGGTGGCGTATTAAGAAATTATCATGGATAGTGGCGGACCTAAAACTTTTCTCAAGTGGGGGCACTACTATATGGACGAAGATGGGCCGGGTCGGATGTGGGACTAATCTATTCAACGTGTAGACATTTTTTAAACAAAAATAAGTTATTCTATTTCAGTTTCAAATGATTTACATATATGTACAACGGGTCTAGTTTCCAACCCATTAAAATAATTGTAAATAATAATATTCATTATCTTGAAAGAAGAACATAATACTTCATATGAATTAGAAGTGAATCATCCTGGGACCATTTCTGGGATAATGTCTGACGTTACATGTCGTGCCACAGAATTACTGTGTCCAAACCGCCTTCATCAACATGGGATTAAATTGTGAACACTAGTATATAACTCCTGGAGTCCTGGTCGAGCTAGCTAAACTACAATTTCTTGATTCAATCTCTCGTTTGTTACTACTACACCTTTTCTAATAACTCTCTTATGGTATCATGTTGTTTCTCTCGTAATACACCCTTTATTTTACAAGAGGATCCCGACATTTTAGTAACATAACCATGAATAAATATCCAAACAAATTTAAAAAAATCCAAACAAATTAAAGTATCCATAAACTTGTTTTTTTGGTGCAATAGCCACGACAACTAATTGTAATTGGTAAGAAAACATTGAGTATGCATGTCTTGTGTATGCAATTTCATTAAAGATAATTTAAATCCATTAAGCTCACCACACATATTAGAAGTCTCGTTATACGTTGACTTCTAATTTTGAAAAAAAGACATTTCGTACTTCACAAAAAATAACCACCAATACCACTTTTATTTCAAAGAATGACCGCGTCAAGAACACGTCTAACTGTATGAAATCGCTTCATCATAACTCCGTAATCATTTAAATGTCTTATAACAATTTACATATACTTTTTGACAGAATTATTACATATTTAATAGTCATAATTGATGGGGGTGAACTCACACTAAATATATTCTCAAGCATGTTAGTTGAACACCTTAAGAAATATATTGTCAAATTAGTTATCGATAACAAAATATCCATTTGAAAAAAACATGAAATCGTATTCACCAAATTTCGCTTTGTCAAAAATAAATTACTCATAAAGTTTTTAATAAATATAAATGAATTGAATAATATATGTATGTAAACTTCATGTAAATTATGCACGCACAATTATATCAATTTATATTAAGTTCATAAATGTAAGCCGGGTTTGGCCAATATAATTATGCTCTTCTCATGTATGTTTATTTTCATTTGGTCCTTTAAATTTAATTCGGGACGAGACTATAGCAACGTGAAATGAAAACATTCTAATCGATGTCATATTTTTATCTACAAACTCTAAGTGATTACGTTCATAAAAAGTACTACTCCCCCTCCCCATAAATTATAAGAATTCTTGCTTCAACACATACTTAACTTTGTTGTTAAAATAACTTTAACATCTACATACTTTTTACATACGTAGGAAAGGATTAACATTTTCATACTACGATCTACAAAGTAGAAAAAAATGGGTATTAAATATATCATACAGTGGCGTATTCAGAAATTATCATGGGTGGGGGTGAACTCACACTATATATCTTGTCACGCATGTTGTTTGAACACCTTAACAAATATATTGTCAAATTAGTTACCGATAACAAAATATCCATTCGAAAAAAACATGGAATCGTATTTACCAAATTTCGCTTTGTCAAAATAAATTAGTCACAAAGTTTTTAATAAATATAAATGAAATGAATGAGAGATGAATAATATATGTAAGTAAACTTCATGTAAATTATGCACACACAATTATATCAATTTATATTAAGTTCAGAAATGTAATTACTAAACTGTATAAATTAAGTGCAGATAAAAATTTAGAATGAAGTAGCTAGTTTCGATTATTCAAACTTAAGAAAAATTGATATGAATTATGTACATCCACTTTAAAGTTGATTTAAGCTTTAAAAATGGGAAACATTGAAGAAAGTGGATAAAAGATAAATTATGTAATCAGAAGTAGGGAGGTTCGAACTTCCAACCAATAATATTCCCCGTAGTACGGAGTAGTAACTAAGAAGAATAATCACATTTGCTATTTTCTCATAATTAATTTATACTAGTATAATACTAGTGTGTACCATTGGTCAGAGTTGTCGTGATTAAATGTATCTCATCAAGAAAATAAAAATGAAAAGTAAAATTCAAAAGAAAAAGAAAGGATAGATACACAAAATGGATAAACGCCCCAGTTTTATGTCACTAATTTTAGTTTGTGTTGTCATGGTCTATGTTACAACGGTGTTGTTGAACAGGTTAAATCAATTTTACATAATAGTGCCCACCAATCAAAGGAGCCCCAATTTTTAAAAAATTTATTAGTATTATATAGTGGTATTATATGATAACATATACAGTAAAATACACTTAGTAAAGAAGAATAATGCATATCTTCTTGTGTTTATTTGTCGGCCTTATATATTATCTTATTTTACTCAAATTGCTTGAGTAATGAGTTGTTTTGCTATAGTTTAAGTATAAAGCAACTTGTAGATTCTTTTAATTGCACTGGTTAATGAATATTCAATTGATTTGAGTATAAGTATTTAGATTGTAAATATTTTAGTTTTCTATATATGTTAATGCAAGACATGGGCTTAATTTTCATTTAGAACCGGGGTCTCCAAATTCATCAGAAGGTCCTGCCAAGTTATACTAATATTTTATTGAATGAAACAAAATTACAAATATATAATCAAAGATTATCACATAAAATAATATAATAGTTCAAAAGTTCTAGTTAACTGTTGTAACTTGTACACATGACATAAAGTCCTGAATGTAGTTTATATTATCATTGATGTGTGCCAAATGACAAGTAATACTATGCACTAAAATAGTAAATTAGTAATCATAATTTGAAAAGGAATAGAAACAACTTCTTAAAAGTGAGGGAAGAACCGGCCGAGGGATGGAATTTGTTTCTTTAAAATGCTAAACAGAAAATGTCCAAAAGTCTCTTCTACTA